TCCCAATCACTAATTAAGACAACAAAAGCAGGATAAACATCATCAAACCCACGTAGAGCAGAAGAAACTTCTGAAACAACATCTTCTGGTTTATTGAAAATAACCCTTAATGATTTAGGGGCTAAAGTGTGATACGTAGATTCTGGTCTCATGTCAACATATAATGAAGAAGTATTATACATAGTAAATTGTAAATCACTTTGATCTAATAATGGTACAACTACCATTGAGCTTTCGTCAATTGCTTGATTTGCTAAAGAAGCGTAAGGAGTAGATCGTGAAGGGTGTGAAGGAGAAATATGATTTTCAGTATAACTTATTGGAGAGGTTGAAATTAAATTGTTAAATTGAGAAGTACACTGTTCAATAACATCTGCTTGATCAAATTCAACTTTATTAAAATGAAGGATAAGGTCAAAAGGGTCATTATATTCAAGAATCATTGGTTCACAAGACAAGATATAGGCTAATAAAAAGAACATGAATTTAGCAAATTTAGGAGATTGAAGAACCCAATCCCATAATTGATAAATGCTTGATAATTTCATTGATAAAGACAATAATGGGAGGAACCATCTGATTGCTGTTGAATTTTCTATAACTCTAGAACTCATTGTTGGAGCAACCTTAGGACCATGGAATGAAAGTAATTGACATAAACGAATAAAATAAATTCTAAAATTTTCTGGAGAATATTGCCTTACAAAATCTGCTTCAAACCTATGTAAACATTCACTACATATTGCTTCATTGAAAGATAAAGAAAGAAATACAGCACAAACACTGTGAATGCCTTGACAATACTCTTCTCCAGAACGTAAAAACGAAAATAATACCCTCTTAAGTTGACTACGAGTAACTTCATTAGCAATAATTGGAACCGTACTAAATGCTCTATTAACATCTTCTACAATGACTCTTGTATCTTCATCAATATCATTTGAGCTAATAATTAAAGGAACACTTTTTGATCGTTCATTGTATCGTTTGTAAGCTAAATTAACATCAATACCGAGGAATAACATCCAAACAGGTAATCTTAAAAATTCAGGAACAAATGACTGTGCAACTCGTTCAACTTTATGAACTATAGTTCCAACTAAACTAGGATTCTCTGCTGCGTATCGAGATAAGAATCTAAAATAAGCATGATATAATCTATGATATCTAACTACATCTGTAACTGGACATGTACTAAATTGTTGAGTAAGTATGTTAACAAAAAATGGAAGCTTTTCAGATGAAGAAGTATTTTCTATTTGATTTCCTTCTGATTTTACATAACCATCAAGTTCTTTATCAATGACAATTGAAGGGTTAATAATGTCTTCAACAGAAATAGAATATATTGTGAAATCATTTTGAACTTCTTCTGCTGAAACATCTCTTTCAATTGAAACAAAACGTTCAAGATTGAAAATAGGATATTTAGCCATTTCTCCATATACTTTTCCCATAATTTCAATATATTTCTTTGGAACGTCAGTATTTAATAATTTTAAATAACACATCTCATGTAATACTTCTCTTCTTGTCATAAAATATTTAGGTGCATTATAGCTAAAATTTAATAGTTCAAGAAGTTCTTTGTCTTGAGGTTGGATAATTGGTCTTCTTTCACTAAAAATTTTGTTTTCTAATAACATAGATATTGTTGGTCGTATTGTTGGTATGGGACAAACGCAAGACGTAAGTAATGGATTTAAATGAGTTTCTTTATCAAAATACAATTGATTTAATTCATCAACTCTATGTGTAAATTCTTCACAGTTATGTTGTTGACAATTTATACATTCTTTGCAATGACTACAAAGTTCAAACAATGCCATAACCCATGAAATATATTGTTTTTTAGATGGAATAAATTGCATATGAATAATAATATATAACATTCCTAAAGAATATATATCACTTTCAACTGAACATGAATGATTTCTATTTAGTAATACTTCAGGTGCAATTGTTGGAAACTTAAACGCACATGTAAAATATTTGTTTGATTGAGATAAATGATATAAAGCATAATTACCTAATTTACCAATATTTGTGTTTGTATAATATATATTTGATGTATTAAGATATCCAACAATAATGTTATGTTGATGAAGATAGTCATAAGCTTCAATAATATCTTGTAATAATCTAATACCTTTCTTTTCATCTAAGGTTGTTAGGATTTCAGGAAGTGTTTTTTCATATGTTTCACATAATAAATAAGTTTCATCTACCAATAAATATCTTAATATTTTTTATTGAACTATACTTAATTTACAAACTATGTTTTGCAGGAATAATATCAAGATAATGTGATATACAATAATGAGAGAGAAGTCTTAATTTTTCAAATCTACCAACACAATTATACTGAGGATATGTAGTTTCTTTTTGTTTTTTTGGTCTGCAAGTAATCAATTGCAAACCAAGTGTTGTCCCATCATTTAAAATGTCTTGATAAGAACAAGGGATATACTCCTTATATTCTTGCATGTTTGTTTTTAACTTTTCTTTTCGAGATTTTTTTTGAGTGAAAAAGATAAACAAAAACGAATAAAAAAGAATAACAAATTATTACTTTGTTATTTAATAACAAAATTATTTAATAAGAATTTGAATCTAACAAAATGTCTATGATTGAATTATTTCAAGATTGGAATTAAAAGGTATTAGCGGAAGATTTACGTTTCATATTTGAATACTGTAAATCAATAGAGGATGTTGTTCATTGTGTAAAATGATTCTGGATGGAGGCAAATTGAAAAATGGGATAAAAACTATTTCTTTAAGGTATGATGGATTTGATGCTGAATGGTATCATTTAGAGTATGTATTTGCTCAATTTAAAACAATGAAGTTATCGTCAACTAAATGATGAGACGTACTAAGACAAAAAAATATTCAATAAACTAGACAATCTTGTATTGATAAACTTAAATTTAAAGATGGAGAAGAAGAACATCTCAAACAGTTTAATACAAAGTATTGGGAGTCTAAAAAAATTACAACAAGTGAAGTTAAGAATTCAAAAGGAGTTATTTAAAAGAGAGTCATATTGATATAGATACCAAAATTAATAGTCAAACTATTTTAAAGATTGTACAGAAATTCTTACTTTTGAGATTTTTGGAGCTTTTCCATAGTGTCATACAAAACTTTAAAGCGTGGGTTAATTAGAGATATGTTCTATGGTAATTTCAATAATTTTAATAAATGTACTTATTGTATCAAATGACATAAAAACTGTACCAGGTATAGGGTTGAGATTAGTGAAAAATTAAAAAATTCAGAGAAAATTGGGGATGTTAAACAATTGGGAATTTCCTGATAATTACCCTTGTAAAACTATTTCTCTAGAAAGTATAAATGAAAACCAATAAGAAGAAAAACTTAATGAAAAAGATGAACTTCCAGAGAAAAGAGAGTTATATGGAATTTACATTTACATACAAGGAAATAAAACTCATTTAAATACAAGCGTAAAAGACATTCAAAGGGTTATTAAAGAACATAATGGTAATGTATGCAAAAGTATTATTGAGTTCTTTATTTGTCAATCAAATAATCAAGATATAGAAGAAGCCAAAGTTAGTGGGGTTAGAGGTGCAAAAGAGATGATGCTAATTTGTCTTGACATTTCTTGGTTAAATGAAACCACTCGTCATAATAAGATTTTTATGATGCTAAGAAGTAAAAAAGGCATTGAAAAATATTAATGTGAAGGAATAAGTTACAAGACATCTGTTGTCAAAGAGATGTATTATAAACCAAAAGAAATAAAATAAGAGACATTTAAACCAGGAGATGGTTCTAATGCCATGAAAGTTACACAACAAAATTAGTTAGGAATAGAGACTAGTGTACATATTGTTAATGGCCCAATATTTGGATAAACTGCATATAATGTAATTCTAACAAAAATGGATTTAAGTACAGGAATAAATATTCATGAACATCTTATTGAACAAAATAAATAATTATTCAAATAAAAGAAGAGACTAATGTTATTAAATGAATTGTCTAGTGTTATTTCTTCAGCAAAAGAAGAAAATGCATCTGGTAATAAGTTTAATAAGAATAAATGAATATTAATTAGATATTTAACAACAAGATAATATTATATGATTCTTTATATCTTTGAATGTGGGAATATATTATTTTGATTGACACTACCGAAAAAGTAAAAAAAGAAATTGAATTAGTTGAAACAATGTATAATATTGAAGAAATGATTCAATTAATGAATGATGATGAATTACTTCTATTTGATTAAGAAACAGAATTATTCTCACATTATGATATTTTAAACACAAAAAATGATTACTTTAGATTATAACTTAGAAAGATATAAATTAAAAAATGAAATGTTTAATAATAATTAAGAAATATCACACTGATCGTCATCAAAATTCATTGAAGAGGTATTTAAAATAGATAGATGTGGAGAAAAAGAACTATTTTAATCATATACGAAAGGTATAAATAAAAAATTAGTATTATCTCATGGAAGTAAACCTAGCAAATTTTGTAAGCATTTTACCAACGGATTAAAAATTACACCACTAGAAATCTCAGGTAGTTGGTATAGATTTGGTAATTGTATTTATTCTGCTAATTGTGCAAGTAAGTTATTAAGTTATTATCCCACTAATGATTGAAGATAAAGTGTGTATTTTATTATGTGAAGTTGTTCTTGGAAGACAATGGAAGAACCCACAACTAGGAACAGAATCTACTTATTTTTATTGGACAAACAGAACTAAACTCAAAAGAAACTACTAAATTAGAAAATGAAGTAAGAGTTTCAAAAAGAAAATTGAAACCAAAAGGAAGTTCAGTATTTAAGCAATATTCTGAATTAGTTATTTAGAATGAAGCAAGAGTAAGAATCAGATATTTAATGAAATTTAAAAGTTAAGTTGAAAATTCATTGGAAAATTTTAAAAGTTAAGGGTTTCTATCATTAGAATTATAAAAACTAAAAAAGACATATTGTTATTATTCTTATGCCAAACCAAGTTTTTCTTTTTATTTCTTATTGTTTAATTGGGTATTGTCTTGCACAAACAAAATATATTTGCCAAGTGAAACAAAATGATCTTGTTAATATGTTTTTTGAAGCAGAAGATGAGAATTGTTATTATAAAAAAGAAGGGAATAAAATGTATTATATTCAACTTATGAAAAACAATAAAGGAGAAATGAAGGCATATCAAATTGAACAAACAAATTCAAATTATTGCACTGACATTATTAATAATGATGAATATTTATTAGACCCTTTTATTCAATGTGAAAAGTCAGGGTCACTTCCTAATTATGATGTAAAAGATTTTATCAGTGTTGATGATTCTTGTTCAGATGCTTCTCCAGTTTATTTAACATTTTATTATTTAGTTAATATATTAATAAATGGTAAAATATACAAAAAGACTTCTAATCAATTTATAAAAATTAGTATTAATTCTAATGGAACTGCTTCAGAAATTGAATCTTTTGAATTTAAATGTTATTCAGATATTAAAAATAGGTATTATCACAGTGTTTCAAATAAAGAAAATGTAGAAGAATATTATTATATAATTGCTAAGTCAAAAACAAATGAAATTCAAAGAATTGGGCATTCTACTAATGGTGTGTGTTATGAACAAGGAGACAAATATATTAATTTTGAGAGTTCATTTTCATTGAAAGATGGAAAATTTAAAGATATAGTAAGTCAATGTGAACATAGTGAAAGTGGTTGCACAGATTCTTGTTCAAATAGAATTGATTATGAAAGAACTAATCCAAACACTTATCAACCACCAGAAACAAAAATCATTTATCAGTCAAGTTCTAAAAGTGAAAGTGGTAGAATAGTAGAATATATTTATGAAAATGTTTGTGCTGATTCTACAATATATAGAACTGAAGTTAGTGGATTAAATAAAATAACATTTACTGATGATTTATGTAATTCTCAACGAACAATAGCTGTTTATAGTAAATGTTATTCCAAAATGGGAAATAACTATATTGTTTGTTCACCAAATTGGGCTTATATTGGAGATGAATCTAAGTATACAGTCTATTCAATAAATAAATGTAGTTTAATCAATAATAATTTGTATGGAAAGGTTGTTTCTGAATCAAATAAATGGTATCTTAAAACTGGTCTTACAATTTCTTCATGTGAAACACCTTCTTCTGAAGTAATAGTATTACCTAACAAGCCATTGAGTGATATTCTTTCTATAGAGATATTATGCACTTCTAAAGAATCTTGTAATAAAGATAGTGATGGAATAAAAACATATTATACTGGTACAATTGATGAATCTTCTAAATATTCTATTGAAAATGGATATTTAGTTAACAATGACCATAGTTTATATTATCAATGCAATTCTATTATTACTAAAGAATCAACATTATTTTATTTACAATGTGATGACCAGGATTCATTTGTTCATTTCTATTATTCAGAAAATGTTTTGTCATATATTGAGTACACAGCTGGTATTTGTTATAAAACATCTACTATGTCATCAGTTCAAATAACTAAAAGAGTTGAAGGAGAAGTAAAAAAAGTGAGTTATACTCTTCATGAATTTGGAAATACAAAATGCCAATCAACTCCAACATTTAATGGTTCATTAGAAATTAGTCAAATTAATACTCAACAACCAAAAGGTGATATAAAAGCAATTTCATTTGATGTAGAACAAGACCAATCAAGTTGTATTAGTAGTTATGAACCTGAGATATACACAGAGTATATAGTAGGAGCATGTATTGAAAAACAGAAATATTCAAAAGAAAATAATAAATTAGTATTAAAGAAATATTCAGACAATGAATGTGAAATTGAGTTATCTACACTTTCTTCAAAAGAATGTAATACCTGTTTAAAAGGAGAAACAAATATTTATGTTAATTGTTGTGTAAGTGCTTTTCCAGATGATTGTCCAAATGAATCAAATTCAAGTAAATATAAAGGAATTATTATGATACTTTTTATTTTACTTCTATTAATTATTTAAAATAAAATAATGGTTAAAAGAAAAATAGTAAAATTAAATTGAAAATTAATTTAGAATATATTTCTTTCTTTTTTTTAAAAAAAAAGTTCTATTGATTAAAAGCTTGATACAAACAAAGATCATTTCGAGGTATAGTTACAATAGGTGTTGATTCAACTAACTTACATAAATAAGAATTGACATTACAGCCATGTATCGTTAAATCTTCTTTACCCATAATAAATTTATTTTTGTAGAATATATGAATTATTCTTTCAAGTTGGAATCCACGTTTAGAACGTTTTGACATTTTTGAATCAAAGAAATATCCTTTTTCTATTAAAATATCAATCAATAAATTATGGATGAAGATTCGTTTATTTTTTTCTAATCTCCTGGTTGTTGTTTGCTTATTTTTTCCCTCAAAATGACAATCATCAAAATTTTGACGACAACGTTGTTCTGCTAATGAAGAAATGTCAATCTCCTCTTTCTCAAAAATTAAGGTTTTAATGTTTGGTAATGACATGGTGACTGTTGGTTGTCTTCTTCTTTTTTCTAAGGTAATTGCACAAAACTGATTTAAGTAGCATAATAATACTGCTTGTTGAAATGCCTCATAGGATTTATTTTCTCTTTTCTTTTCAATATATTTGGGATGACTCCAGTGAATTTTTTTTTTACCATTATCAAAATATGTAAATTCAGATTCTTTAGAAACACACCGCCCAATAACTTCGTCAATAGGAGCAGGGAATGACTGCATGATTTAAAATACTAAGTTCTTGTCATTCAATTTAGTCTTACCTTTTGTTGAACAAAGGTTCACAAATAGAAAATTCTCTTCCTATCTTCTTCTTCCTTTTTCCTTATTATTCTTAGACAGTTAATTCTTATTTTACAATTATTTTCTCTGAGATTTCATTTAATCTAATCTGTTTTATTTGAATAGAAAAATCCCGAAAAACTACTACATTCCCCTTAACAAAATATCATTTACCAAATTATTTTAAAAAATTGCTATTTTTAGTTGCGGAAGTCACCTAAAAATAAAAAGCTGAGTGAAACTAGAAAAATTACTTAACCCTAAATGTATTTTTAATTAGTTCCAAAAATACTTTATCAAATATATTATCATTTCTTTATCTTAGGGGTAGAAGATTATACTTATTTTTTTATTTTTTATTTGATCGATTGTCAAATTCACTATCAATTTGGTCGAAGTATAAAAAAGTAATGTAATACCCCATTAAAAAGGGAAGGATAAAATCTAAGAATTAACCAAATGTTATTTACAATTAACAGATTTTGAGATTAAAACTTTTCAATCTAAAAAAAAACGAAAGATATGGTGATGAGTGGAAAGAGAGTAGTGACATTAGGTGTAGAAGAAATGACTGTTATTGTCTCATATTTCAAAGATATTTATCTTTTTAAACAAGTAGTATTCATTAGTCGAAAATATAAACATTTTTTTGAGTATTTTAAAGTAAATCCGATTGATGACATTCGATATTTTACACGATGTACTTCACAACAATTATTTTCACTTAATTCTTTAAGAAAAGAAGGTATGACTCAGTACATACAAAAATATAAAATAACACTTGACCAATATTTTTTATTAAAGAAAAACAATAATTGTTATGATGAAATTAATACTGTTTATTTAACAAAAACTGATATGGAAAATAAAACTTATCTCCAACAATTTCAGTCTTCTTTACATTTTGTTATTGATAAAAATTCTGGGAGTGAATTGTCTCAAAAATGTATTAAACTTTGTAATTCTATTGTTGGTATTGCTGACAATGCATTTGCTTCAAGTCAAATTAATAAAATTATTCTTCCTAACACAATTCATTATATTGGTAATTCTGCTTTTATTGATTGCACTTCACTAACATCAATTCATCTTTCAAATACTTTGAAAATTATTCCAGATATGTGTTTTTATAATTGTTGTGCTTTGAAAATGATTCAATTACCATTATCATTAATAGCTATTGGATCAAATGCTTTTTATAATTGCATTAAATTAGAAAATGTATCTGGTGAAATACCACATCTTATTGAAATCGGACCAAGTGCTTTTTATAACTGTCATTTATTATCTTATATTTCTATTTCTTCTTCTTCATCTTTAAAACAACTACCTCAAAATCTATTCACTAATTGTAATTCATTATCATCACTTATTATTCCAAATTCAGTTTCTTTCATATCAAATAATGCCTTTGAAAACTGTGGTATTATTTCTTTAATTTTACCATCTTTATTAAATTCCATTCAACCATATACTTTTTCTAATTGTTCTTCATTAGAAGAAATAATATTTCCTTCTTTAATTACGTCTATTGGTGATTTTGCTTTCAGTAATTGTATCAAGCTTAATACCATTAATTTACCTACATCTGTTAATGTATTAGGAATTGGTACATTTTTTCATTGTATTTCTTTAACTTCTCTACAACTACCAAAAGCAATCACCTCAATAGGAAAATTATGTTTTTCTGAATGTTGTTTATTAACATCTATGTCTATTCCTTCTTCAGTGTCAAAACTAAAATCTTCTACATTCCTTAATTGTGAATATCTCATTCAAATAAATTTACCTTCTTTTTCTATTAAAAAAATTGGCTCATGTTGTTTTGAAAATTGTAGTGCATTACGATCATTCTTTATTCCACTAACTGTTACTTCATTAAATAAAAATGTTTTTTCAGGATGTACTTCATTAACATATGTAAATATTCCTTCAACTGTTTTAAGTCTTCCTGATCATTTGTTTGAAAATTGTTGTCTTTTAAAAAAAATTGAAATACCAACAGGTATTACTTCAATTGGCACACATTGTTTTTTTGGATGTGCACATCTCATATCATTTCAAATCCCATTGCTTGTTCATCAATTAACTGATTATACGTTTTATGGTTGCAGTTCTTTAAAATCTATTATAATACCTACTTCAATAACTTCAATAGGTATCTATTGTTTTAGTAATTGTACTTCCCTTACTTCAATAATAATTCCTTCTTCAATTAATCACCTATCATCAAATTGCTTTTCTAATTGTTCTTCATTAGTCTCTATTTCACTTGCTCCGACTATTACATCGTTTAGTACTGATTGCTTTAAACAATGTACTAATCTCAAATCTATAGTTATTCCATTAAAATTAAAAGAAATTCCTGATGGATGTTTTGCTGGATGTTCTTCTCTTATAACAGTCAAAATACCAAAAGGAGTATCGTATCATGATAACGTATTTGAAGGGTGTTTGAAAATGAAGAAAAAACGATAAACCTGAACTATTTTAATCTACCTTTACTTATAATTAAATATTTTTTTAATAATTAAATTCATCTTCATCATTGTAACAGTATTGTAGGAATTGAACTGCTTTGTCACTTCCTAATGCTTTAGCCTTTCTCCACAACACACACGCAGCATTTACATCTTTTTTTACTCCAACTCCTTTCATGAAACATACTCCAAGTGTTACAATTGCATCAACATAATTTAGTTTGCGTAAATGAAATAGTATTTCAATTGCATGGCTAACATCCTGGTTCTTTAACAAATGAATAGCTAATGCATATAATGCTCGTTTATCTTCCATAATACATGCGTTACGAATTAATCTTAGCCCTTCTCCTTTATTAGTGGCATAAATAAATCTTCCGTACCATGACTCAGCAACCCAATACCCAGCACTAACCGCTTCTTTAATTAATGTCATTGCTTCTTCTCTATTTTCGTGTTTGATCATCTTTACACAACCAACATGAAATTTAGCAAATTCATTACCTAGCTTCATAGATAATTTATACATTTCAGCTGATTTAATAGAATTTTCATCTACTCCTATTCCTTTTCTATAACACATACCAAGATGAAACGTTGCAACAGATGACTTTCTTTGAGCCAATAAAATTTTTGTTGCAATTTCTTGGCTATCTTCTGACTTTGCACCCCAATGTCCATACAACAATCCAATTGCTAGATTAACATCTGAATGTGTTTTCGAACATCTTGACAATGCATAATTCTTTGCAGCTTCATGTAAATTTTTTTGTAATCCTATACCAGTATATTGCATAAAAGCAACATTAAACCTTGAATAGGGAAGATTTATACTATTTTGGAATAACGCACCAGCGACACAAAGGTTCTGTGGTACAAGCCCAGAAATCCCCTTTAAGGCTATTACACCTAAATTATATGTTGCATACTTATCATCACATTTATATCCTTCCATTAATAAGTTAACAGCTTTATTAGGATCACTTTGAATTAGAGCAACACCTAAATTATTACATGCAGCAACAACATTTTTTGTTATTGCAAATTTCCAATTACTGATGGCTTTTTCAACATTACCTTCAATCATTTGTAGTACAGCAAGATTATTGCAAGCAATAATACATCCTTTGGTCATTGCTTCTACGTACTTTTCTCTTGCAATGTATTTGTCTTGAACACATCCTATTCCCCTTTCTTTCATTAAACCAATATTGTTAATTGAGTTAACATCCCCATAGCGTGCTCCATATTTAAAGAATTTATAAGCTAATTTTTCATTTTTTTCAACGAGAATACCTTGAAAATAGCATGAAGCTAATTTAAAAAATGTTTCTGGATGAGTTTTATCTGTTACTAATATCTTCTTAAATTCTTCTTCAGTTTGTTGTTGTGGAGAATAAAGAATCATAGGACTTTCATAAAGGAAATTAGACATTATTGGTTCTATCCAATAACTAAATTTGTTAATACGTCTCCATGAATCAGCGTCCTCTTCTTCTCTAGGATTTTGATCAAAGATATTAAAATTTTTAAGAATGTTGATTTGAACAGAAAGAGAATAAGGGTTGTCATCTTTTATTTCTTCAACTATAGGTTCAGCTTCTTTTTTTAGTTGTTCTTCTATGGCAACATAACTACTTATTTTAACGTCTAATTCTGGTTCAGGACTGTCAATAATTTTTTTTATTTTATTACTCTTTGCTTCATCCATAATTATAACACGCTTACGAGGTACTTTCTTTGCATAATTCATGAAATATGATAAATAAACTACTAAAGAAAATTGTTCTTGTAAATTACACATATCTTCTGCAGTTATTAAAGGAGGGACATTAAATGTATTCTCTGCATATTCAAGACATTGTTGTATCAATTCTACTGAAGTTAATTTATTAAAGTTTTGAAATGAATTATTTGTTGCTGGTTGAAGCCCAATAATAAATTGACTAAAAAGTGTTCCATCTACCCAGGATAGACTGAGGTCTGTCACTTCTTTTCCTATAACACTTTGTACCATATCAAGTATTTTATCTATAGATTCTTGAATTGAAGAGCATTTCAGTTGATATTTTAAGAACATTTTTATGAGTAATGGAGTGACAGCTTCTGGTGCTCCTAAAGTAAATTTTTCTGCTGATATTTTATTAACTCCACCATAAACAATGTTAATAATTTGTTGGTTATTATTTATTTTATCTGCAGATGATTGTGGTAATTTTAATGGTTTAGAAATATTATTATTAAGTTTATTAAATAAAATTTGTAACAACACCCCATCTTTAAATGAAGCATAAGTAATCTTTTTTTTATAACATGACTTTAAAGTATAATTAAGCCAATTCGTAAGAATACAGATATGTGGATCTTCCATTCAATTTATGACAATTTAAAAGTTTTTATTTTCTTTATGATTTTTATTTCTTTTTATCTTATTTTGTGTTATCTATACTAACTTTTTTGGTAGTTTTTATTAATTTTCTTTATTATTCTTATACTATTCATTCTGTTTTTCTGTTTACTCTTTTCCTTCATTGTATTTTTATTACTCTTTTATAAAGAGTATTTATGTTATATATAACAAATTATACTTTAAAATACAAAAATATTTTCATGTTAGTTTCCTTTCTTCTTTTTTAACATTAATGCTTCATATTGTTATATTATTAATACAAGTAATGGAGTAGTTTCATTGAATATTATTGATTAAAAATGTTGGATTATCAGTTCTTGGGTGTTTTAAATTTATTCTTTTCATAGCCTTTTGGGAATTTGATTATAATAAGTCATTTAAGAACTACCGCATTTAAAAATAAAGGGTATACTTCACTTGTTAATATTAATCCAGTTTCCAAAATGAATTTATCATCCGAAAAAAAAGAATAATTGATTCAATTTTAATTAAAACTACTTATTTTTTTAATAAAAAATAAATTAAATAATTAAAATAATTCTTATCTATACAATTTACCTTATAAAATAAAATTCTAATATGTCATTGATGTTTTTTTTTTGATTCTATTTAGTAATTGATGATATTATTTTTTACTTACAAAAAAATCTAGAAGAGTTTATTCCGATTTAATTGTAATAAATTACTTTTTTGTTTTTTTGTAACTAACCATTATTGACAATAAGCTATTAAATAACTAATGATAGTAGAGAGTATAATTCATATTAATACCAAAAATAAACTCTTAGACAGACTAGACTTTTTTTTAAGGAAAATATTCAATTAGTGTCTGAAAGATTTTTATTTTGTTTGAAGAAATAGTACCAAAACCAATAACTTTAAAGGATAACATTTGACAAAACATTAAATAGGTTAAGTTATCAAGTGCGAATTATTTTCAGTGAAAGAAATTTTACTTTTACAAACATTTTCAACAACAGAATAAAACAATTTCTATTAAAAAACAACTGATAAATCACAATAAAACTAATTTATAATTTAAAAATAACTTTTCAAAAAATAAGGAATTAAAAAGAAATAACTCCTACTCATATTTTTTTTTTAACAATTATTATTTTTAATGAAAAATTCAAAAATATGATTTAAATTTATATTTTTATCTCTTTCTTTTTCAAGAACTTTTTAGTTCAATCTGTATGCAAACGCATCAATTCATTTCAGTAAAAGTTGAAAATGTTGGTTACAACCACAATATACGTGTAACAAGACATTATAGTTCTCCCGAGTCTTTATTAAAAGAAATTAACCAAAATTTTAAATTCTCACTTGATAATATAACTGAAATTACTCCATTCAAAGACATACCCAATGATTCACCAAATCCTCAAATAGACTGTCTTCCTTCTCCAACAAACCCTTCATTATAAGTTGTACTTTTTAATTTATTATTTTTCATTGTATTGAATTTTATTTTATTTTTTTTTAAATTAAAAGAATAACAATAAAAAATTTATATATAAATATCTTTTTGTTATTTTTAAAATTCATTTAGAAATTCAATATAATATCAGGAAATTCTAAATTGTCTGGAAGTTGTTCCTTTTCACTTGAAACTGATATGGCAATTGTCATTGTATTGTTTTTATATTCTTCATGTTTTACCTCTTTATAAATTTCTTTAAATGTTTGTTTACTTCGTTTAATTCCACTAGGAAGATATGAACAATAGAATAATGCACCGCATGCAGTAATTGAATCAACTTCAAGTGGATATCTTTTTGAAATTTCTTGACAGAATTGTTCTATAGTACAGTTTCCATCAAATTCTAATTTATCCCAAATA